TGTCTTTCCTTGTGCCCCTCACTTATTTGCTCCCTCTCTCTCTCTCCCTCTCAAAAAAAACAAAAACAACAACAACAAAAAATTTTAGGGGGTGCCTGGGTGGCTCAGTTGGTTAAGCATCTGACTCTTGGATTTGGCTAAGGTCATAATCTCACGGTTCATGGGTTCGAGCCCTGCCTGTGTCAGGCCCTCTCCTGATAGCATGGAGCCTGCTTGGGATCTCTCTCTCCCTTTATATCTGCCCCTCCCCAGCTTGCTCTCTCTTTCTCTCTCAAAAAATAAACATAAAAAAATAAAAAGCAATGTAAGAGCCATGTTTTCCAAGTTATTTTATCATTGGCATTTGTTTTTCATATATCTTTTAAGCAATTTTTATTAGTATGAATTTATTTAGTAACTTTATTTTTTAATTTTTTAAAATCTTTATTTTTGAGAGAGAGAGCGACAGAGCATGAGCAGGGGAGGAATAGAGAGAGAAGGAGACACAGAATCATAAATAGGCCCCAGGCTCTGAGCTGTCAACACAGAGCCCGACGCAGGGCTCGAACCCACGAGCTGCAAGATCACAACCCTAGCCGAAGTCAGACGCTTAACTGACTGAGCCACAGGCGCCTCTATTTAGTAACTTTAAATTATAACATACACATATTATAAAGTCAGTCACTGATAAACTGATTTGGTATCTGGGATTATAGATGGCTTTAATACCTAATTTTTAATTTATTATTAACTTTTAGTCTGAGATAACTGAACATGTATAGAAAAGTTGCAAGAATAGTACAAAGAAATCCTGCATATCTTCAAGATTCTCCAAAGTAGAACTCTTTACCACATTTGCTTTAACATTCTGTTTTCTTCTCTATAGTTACATATGTGGATACAGATAGATATCTGAGCCATTTAAGAGTAAGTTGCATATAAGGCCTCATTATTCTAAATACTTCAGTTTGTGTTTTTTAAAAAGGGACATACTCGGGCGCTTGGGTAGCTCAGTCGTTTAAGCGTCTGACTCTTGATCTCAGGTGGGGTCATGACCTCCCAGTTTGTGAGTTTGAGTCCTTTGTCGGGCTCTGTGCTGATTGCTGGGAGCCTCCTTGAGATCCTCTCTCTCCATCTCTCTCTGCCCTTTCCCTGCCCATGTTCTCTCTCTCAAAATAACTTAAAGAAATAAATAAAAATTAAAAGGGACATAACTCTGTCATAACCATAGTAAAATGATCAAAATTAAGACATTAACCTAATACTCTATTTTTTTTAAGTTTATTTGAGAGAGACAGAGAGAGTGAGGGAGGGGAAGAGAGAGAGAGAGAGAGAGAGAGAGAGAGAATCCCAAGTAGGCTCTGTGCTGCCAGCACAGAGCCTGATGGAGGGGTCTGAATCCATGAAGCCCTGAGATCATGACCTGAGCTGAAACCAAGAGTTGGATGTTCAACTGACTGAGCCACTCAGGTGCCTCCTAATATTCTTGTTTAACCTACAGCCCTTATTTAGATTTGCTAATTATCCTAGTAATAATACCCTTATATCAAAAGAAAAAAAATTCCTGTGTTCTAGGATCCAGTCCAGAATCACGCATTGCATTTGGTTGTCATATCTAAACTTTCGTCCCCTTTAATCTGAAACAGCTATGAGGAGTAAGGGAGGGCGAAGGAAGGGGAAAACATCTGGAACATTTATCAGTGCTTCTTTGTCCTTGACATTTTTTTTTTTTCAACGTTTATTTATTTTTGGGACAGAGAGAGACAGAGCATGAACGGGCGAGGGGCAGAGAGAGAGGGAGACACAGAATCGGAAACAGGCTCCAGGCTCTGAGCCATCAGCCCAGAGCCCGACGCGGGGCTCGAACTCACGGACCGTGAGATCGTGACCTGGTTGAAGTCGGACGCTTAACCGACTGCGCCACCCAGGCGCCCCTGTCCTTGACATTTTTTGAGGAGGACAGGGTGGTTATATACTATACTACATTGGAAATGTCTGGTGTTTCTGAATTCGATTCAGGTTATGCATTTGGGGCACTATTACTACTGAAACAATGTTGTGTTATTAGTGCATCATATCAGGGAGCCTGCAATGTGGATTTGTCCCGTTCCTCGCATATGAATGTTGACTATTTGGTTAAGGGGTGGTATCTGCCCTCATTTTCCACTATAAAGCCATCCTTTTCCCCCTTGTGATTAGTAAGCATCTTGTGGGGAGATGCTGTGAGATTATGTGATTTATCGGATTTTCACCCACTAGTTTTACATCCACTGCTTATTCTGCCTGAAGCAGTCATTACTATGATGGTTGCCAAATGGTAATTTTCTAATTCTGTTATTCCTTCTATATTTATTTGCTGGCATTTTAAGAGCTTTTTTCCTCCCCCATTTGTTTATACCAAAATGGATTCATGAATTCTTGCATTATTCAATGGGTTACTATCATAATTTCTTTTTTGCATACAGTTTTCCAACTTCAGTCAGTGGGAGCCCCTTCAAGCTGGCTCCTGTGGCTTTCTGACACCTCCCTGTTATTGTTGGAGCACTTTCTTGCTTTCTGGTACAAGAGGTAATAGGCCACTATGCTTACAATATTGGCATCTTTCCAAGGATTCCTGGTTCCTTTTAGTGGGGAATGGTGTTAAGAAATCAAGATCTTAGTGCTAGGTGTGCTTATGGCTACTGGAAGTCATTGCTAAGAGGTCCTCTGAGAGGACGACTGGAAATGCACACGCACACACTGACATATACATCTACCTCTTCATCGCTCTCTGTTCAGAACCCTTGAGTTCACACCCATATCTTCAACTGCAACCCACCACCACAGGGTGCATTTGAGCCTTGCCCATTTCCATATTTGTAACTTCCAGTGAGAAACCTGGCTCTTTTCACCCAATGTTTACTTATTTGTTGTCATAGAATATGCAGAAAGTAGCTTTAGAATTGCTCATACACACCATTGCAAAATCAAACCTACTAACTAGAGTTCAATATTTGTTTGCAGTTTTGTTTCTCGCCTGAGGGGATCCAGTCAAAACAAGTGTTCAAAACTGACTTTAGTTTTTTTTCTCTTTCTGTGGTTATACAATTCATTTAAGTCCATTTGTTTTTATCTATATTCTGTTTTAGAGTTGTTTCGTCATCCTTGTTGATTTATTTATTCGTCTGATCTATTTTTGATCTTATAAAACACTGACATGCTTCCAAAAGTCAGAACTATTCTGAGGTATACTCAGAAATGTCATTCTCCCCCCAGGGCCCCTACCCCATTCCCAACCTGCCATCTTTCCTTCCCCTCACTATCTATATAGATAACCAGTTACTGTTTTCTGATTTATCATTCCTCTGTTTCTGTTTGCACAAATTGGCAGATATGTTTGTTTTCTTATTTCTCCTTCCTTCTTACAACAAAGAACAGCTGACTGTACATATTCTTTTGCACTGTTTTTCCTTTTTAACAATATATCCAGGAAACCACTCCATTGTGTGGATGTGCCATAGTATACTCAACTATTCTCCCATATATAGGCACTTAGATTGTTTCCAGTATCTTGCGGTTGTAAACAGTGCTGCAGTAAACAGCTTTGACATATATATTTTTGTGTTGTTGGGAGATGTACTTCTGGTGTAAATTCTTAGAATTGCTGGATCAAAAGGTCAATTCATATGTAGATTTATTAGATGTTATCAAATTCTTGTCTGTAAGGCTTGTACCACTTTGCATTCCTACTAGCAATGCATAAAAGTGCCTCCTCAAGAGAATGTCACAAATCTTAATTTATGCCAATTTAATAGTGTTGTCTTGGTTTTTGTATTTTGTTTTTCTTGCACAGAATCCAGAAAATTCTGATTCAAACACCCAGATTTGCATCTGTCAGTAGACTGCCTTTTAGGATATTCTTCAATTAAGCAGAACTAGCAAAAGAGGTTTTATTATGAAGCCTGCACAAAAAGAGAGTGAACCAGACAGCAAAGCATGAGCAGGAGAGGGGCAGACAGAAAGGGAGAGAATCCCATGCAGGCTCAGCACTGCCTGTGCAGAACCTGATGCAGGGCCCAATCTCAAGAACTGTGAGATCATGGGGGCGCCTGGGTGGCTCCAGTGGGGTTGAGTCAACTTCAGCTCGGGTCTGCAGTCTACGGTCTGTGATTCAGGCGTCGGAGCTGGGCTGATGTCAGGAGAAGAGCCTGGAGCCTGCTTTGTTCGACTAACTTTGTCTCTCTCTCTGCCCCTCCCCCCGTTCATGCTCTGTCTCTCTCTGTCTCAAAAAATAAATAAACGTTAAAAAAAAAATTAAAAAAAAAAAAAAAAAAAAAGAACTGTGAGATCATGACCTGAGCCGAAATCACGAGTCAGACACTCCTTCCATTCACCTAAGCCTAAATTTTTATTTTAAGTAGGTTCCACACCCAATGTGAGGCTTGAACTCATGACCCTCCAAGGAGATGCATGCTCTACTGAGCCAGCAGCCCCCCTCCTTATTATTTTTTATGTTTTAATTTGAGAGATACTATACCAGGCTGCCTGGGTGGCTCAAGTGGGTTGAATTAATGGCCAACTTAGGCTCTCCCAGGTCATGATCTCATGATCCAGGATTTGAGGAGCCCAAATGAGACTCTGCTGACAACCTAGAAGCCTGGAGCAGTTTCCAGATTCCTGTGTCTCCCTCCCTCTCTCTGACCCTCCCCCGTTCATGCTCTGTCTCTCTCTGTCTCAAAAATAAATAAAGGTTAAAAAAAAATTAAAAAAAAAAAGTTTGAGATACTTCTGATTGTTTCTCAGATGAGTATACAGAAGGGTTAAGAGTATGTCCAGAATCTTACCACACTCTAAATTGTTTTCGTTTTGTGACACATATGAGTTCTAGCTTGTTTTGAAGTAGGAAAAATTTTATCTGGGTTTTTGTTTTCTGATTATGGGATACAAATATTCTCATTCAACAATGAAATGTTAGGGGTGCCTGGGTGGCTCAGTCGGTTGAGCGTCCGACTTCAGCTCAGGTCATGATCTCAGTCCATGAGTTCAAGCCCCGCGTCGGGCTCTGTGCTGACAGCTCAGAGCCTGGAGCCTGCTTCAGATTCTGTGTCTCCCTCTCTCTCTGCCCCTCCCCTGCTCATGCTGTCTCTCCCTGTCTCAAAAATAAATAAAAACATCAAAAAAATTAAAAAAACATAAACAATGAAATGTTAATGTTTTAGTTATTTGGAGGGTACTTTTTTTCCAGGCTAAACTGTGAAAATGCAGTCCTCAAGGAAACTCTGAATGTGAAAACAGAAGAAATTAAAATGCTGAAGTCGGAAAATGCACGTAAGTGAAGAGCATTATTTTGATGATTGCTTAAGAATATTATGTTAAAATATCAGTTTTAGTGTCCTATGTTAAGAACATACGTATCAATAGACAAAGTGCTATTATTTAGAAGTAACATACTTCCAAGAAATGCATCATTAGGGTTTTTTTAATGAAAAAATTTTAAGATGAAATTCACATATCAAAATTAACCATTCAAAAGTAAATAATTCATAACACTCACAATGTTGCACAATTATCTAGTTCCAAAAGATTTTCATCACTCCAAAGTAAAACCCTGTATCCAGTAAGCATTTCTCCCCATTCTCCTGTTATCCTTTTGTTTTTCTACTCAGTGTAAAACAAAATGGTAGAGCACCTCATATTTGAGAAACCTAAGTACATGTTTTTTGGGGGGACATTAGTAGGAATGTATTCTAATAGTATTAAGGCTAATACTAGCACTCTTGCTTTTTCAAGATATTGACTGACTACAGACTTGAAAGTTTTTACCTATATGTGTGTACACACACACCCCTTATGTAATAAGTCACCTTATGACAAAAGTTAATAAAAGAATATTAAGATGTCTTAAGAATATATTTCTTAAGTTTATTAATTTATTTTGAGAGAGAGAGAGAGAGAGAGAGACAGACAGACAGAGAGAGTGAATCCCAGGCAGGCTCTGCAATGTCAGTGCACACCCCAAGGTGGGACTTGATCCCACGAACCATGAGATCATGACCTGAGCTGAAGTCGTACGCTTAACCGAGTGAGCCACCCAGGCGCCTCCAAGATGTTTTAAGAATATTAAGATGGCATCAACTTTTTATATAATTTTAAGAGATGTGTTGTTTTTTCCTTCTTAGCAGAAACTGTTTTAAAGTAGTGGCTTGAAGGAGACAAAGTTCTAAATCAGGTCCTGGGCCTGAGAGGGACACTTTCTGTAGTCTAGTAAGTGAATAGTGGCAGAGCTCCTGGGTGAGAACTGCACAGAGAAAATGGTGCTTCTCCATACCTGTGATTAGAGCAGATGGGAGATTTCACCTGTGTTAGGTTAGTTCAGGAAAGCAGCAGCCTATAACCACATCCACTCCCTCTCTACCACCTCACTCTGCAACAAGTCGGGGAGAAGTCATGATTTTCTGTTCCAGGATATAGTAGGACCGCTCTTGTTATAAATGGTTGAGAACTTGTGAAAACTCATAATAGAAGTCTAATAGAGTTTGGATAGCTGGTCTGTTTGACATTAATGCATGAGATCTCACCATCTGGTGGTCTCAAGATCTAGCAAGTGCAAATAATTTGCATTTGTATGTTCTTTGAAAATCCTACAAATTTTCTTTGAGCAAATGAAGACCAGACTTTGGACACTTCCACATTAAATACAGTAACATTTCATCTAATGTTAAGTATCTGTTATCTCGTTTGATACCCACTATTTTATCAGATTTTCTGGCTGTGCAGTTCTGGTAGGCAATGTCTACATATGCACTGCTTGTAAGAAGTGAGTGTATGATGTTGGTGTAACCAGTAGCTTAGGTGAGGCCGGAGTCAGACTGTGTAACTAACACTCTCTTCTTTGGCCCTTCCTAGTTTTAAATCGACAGTATTTGGAGGCCCTCGCCATGCTGGAGATCAAACAGCAGATGGCAGCTCAGGAACACAAGTGCCGTGATAAATGTGGTTTTACAGAGGTTTCAGGTCTTGAGGTAGGTAGGCAGGTATGAAAGATGAACAAGAGGGAGATTTTCTACTTTCCTTTTCCCCGTCACCGTCTGCGACATGTTCTAGAATAGCACTATACTTAGCAATTTGAGACTGAGGGAAGAGAGGCCCATTGGTTTCCCCAGGACAGTGCCTCAACCTTACTGGTACCATGCATTACATTCTGGTACAGTAGGACATGTGCTGGCCACTTCCTGCCCCATTTCTTATTTTTATAGTTTTAGCATAAGCTGTGTTAGCTGTGTCTCACATGACACAATCACAAGTATTTTTTTAGAAATGGAGGGATGATTATTTTCCTGACATATTAAAATTCATTCATCATTTTTAAGCATGCACCTCTCCCTGGTGGGAGCTGGCAGGAGTAAATGCTGGGCAGCCAGGCTAAGCTCATTCACAAATCGACAAGGTAGATTTTAATATTACTTCAAGTTCCTGGCAGGGATTCAGACCATAGAAACTGGTGCCAATTTAGAAGTTTTGGAAAAAGAAAAGAAGCAAGGTAGAATTCCTTTATGGATTTGTTCCAAGTAGTAACATTCTTTCCTCATTTGTGGTTGGATCCTGAAATCCGCCTGTCAGTTTTCTTCTATTTTTGTTTCTCTTTCCAATTTCTTTGAATTGCATGCTCGAATATAAATGTGCATGTGTGTAAGTGCCCTTGCGTTTGTGTGCAGCTAGGTAGTGCGACCCTCAGTAATGGGAATAATGTTTTCGGGTTTGAAGCTTGCTGTCCTTGGAGCCTGCCTTTGCCATGGTCCCGGAGGGAGTCCCTGTGCTTGTGCCAAAATGGCGGCATCGGCTCGGAAAATGCTTCTTAAGCTCAAACAGGAGGTAAGTACCATATTATCAAAACACTAAAAGCTTTTTTTTTCTCTATTAATAGAAGGGAAGTATCTGCAATAATTAGCTTCCTTTTAGTAGTCACTGGCTGTGGAACTTTTATGTGATAGAATTACTTAGGCTTACTTTTATGTGATAGAATTAACATACAAACTGGATTTTATTTACATGGTTCCAAAATACAAATAGTACTTGGCATGACACTATGGCAACATAAAGTTGTTTGCCTAAGTTTATAGTTAACATTTCCTAAGTTTATGTTTCTTTTCTCTATAAATGGTCCCCAAATTACTCTATTTATAATTAGAGGAAAAAGCTCATGCTTAAAATCACTAGGACCCACAACACTGATAAATGGGGAGATTAACATGAAGCTAAGCAGAAAAACAGCAAGGTATACTGAAGGGACCTTTGTACCAGCCAGACCTAGGTTTGAGTCATAGCTCTAGTATTTTCTATGTGTGTCGGTTTGGACACATATGTTACAACAGAGAATAATAACTAGTTATTGGGCTGTTTTGCGGAAATAGAAGAGGCAGACATTTAATGTTTAGCACTGCACCATGCAGGTGCTGGCACTTAAATGACAGCTGCCATTATAGTTAATTATAATAACATACAAACATGGACCATAATTTTAAAAATATTTTACCTTTATTGAAGGTATGGAATTTCAAGTCTTCAGACATAGGAAAAATAACAGCTAAAAATTAGCAGTTCATTAAGACAAGCATAAGATTACAAAGATCAGTCAGGGTTAGTTATGGCACGTATCTAAAAGGTGACATTCATAATTATTTTCAGTGATACTGTCTAGACTGGCCCAAGGCAGAATGGAAATGCAGCCTTTGGCATCCTCCCTTCTTACTTGTTGGGCAGGACACACACAAGGCCTTTCTGTGGTAATGAGGTAAGGTCCAAGAAGTGGATTAACAAGGAATGATCGGGCACCAGGAAGGAAATTTCTGGTAATCTAGTTCAGAGTGGGCACCTACTGTAGAGGGGAATCAGCAAGTACTAATTAGTTTAAGCACATGAAATAGATCAGACTGAAAGATACATGCTAGGCAGGAGACTACATTTGCTAATGTTACTCAGCATTCAGGCAAGAATTGTTCTAGTTTTGCATGACACCTGTCAAACTTTCTTTCAAAACTAGTTGGGACTTTTGCAGAAGAGTAAAGAAGAAGCTTACATAATGGCAGATGCATTCAGAATTGCATTTGAGCAACAATTAATGAGGAAAAATGACCAGGCACTAAGATTGACACAAATGGATAAAATGTGTAAAAAAGCAACAAAATGGATAAATTGGAAGCACCTTAAGGAGGATGGTAAATATGAATTATAATGGCAATAATCAGGTACAATTTTAGTTGTTTTTGATTATAATCAAAGTTGATTATGCACCGTTAAATGAAAGGAGAATATAATTAAAGTATATGGGAAGAAAGGGGGTCACTGGACGTTACATATGCAGAAGAAATATTGGGATCACCAAAACCATAAAACAGTAGAATCTTTTCTACTACTCAACTATCTCATTTAAGCTACTTAAAAAAAAAGTGTTCACTTATTTTGAGAGTGTGTGTGCACACTAGTTAGGGAGGGAGACAGAGAGAAAGAGGGAGAGGGATAATCCCCAGCAGGCTCCAAGCTGTCAGCACACAGCCGGACACAAGGCTCAATCTCAAGAATAGTGAGATCATGACCTGAGCTGAAATCATGAGTCAGATGCCATGGGTTGCCTGGGTGGTTCAGTCTGTTAAGTGCTGACTTTGGTCATGACCTCACTGTTCATGGGTTCGAGCCCTGTGTTGGGTTCTGTGCTGACAGCTCGAAGGCTGGAGCCTGCCTCAGATTCTGTGTCTCCCTCTCTCTCAGCCCCTCCCCTGCTCGTGTTCTCTCTCTCAAAGATAATTAAAAAAAAAAAAAAAAAAAAAAGACCTTTAACTGAGCCACCCAGGTGCCCCTCAACTATCTCATTTAAATAAGAACATGTTTAGTGGGGAAAGTTTATGAGTGCTAAGTGATTAAAGGGAAACTGCCTAGACGTCATAATGAAAATAGTGAAACTCGGGTGTCTGGGTAGCTCAGTCAGTTAAGCGTCTAACTTCGGCTCAGGTCATGAGCTCACAGCTTGTGAGTTTGAGACCGGCATCTAGCTCTGTGCTGACAGTTTGGAGCCTGGAGCCTGCTTCGGATTCTGTGTCTCCCTCCCTCCCTGCGCCTCCCCTGCTCATGCTCCATCTGTCTCTCAAAATATAAACATTAAAAAAATTTTTTAAAAAATAGTGAAACCCAAACATTAAGTATGTCTAATTAAACTTTGCTGAAATGTATGATTCTAAAAGGAGATGGAGGAGTAGAGGAAAAATCTTAAGTTGGAAATATTAATAAAATACTTTTATAAAAATGAAACAAGGGTTAGGTTTTTTTCACAAACCTATCAAAAGTTAATGGCCATTTTTCAGTATTGTACTGGTGTGAACAAAATATATAAAAATGGAATAACAGAATAAAAATGACAGTTGGAAGTAGATCATCCAATAAAATCAAAGTAGCTGTTATTTTTTAGAAATTTTAGTTTCTCTAAATGTTCAGTATCAGTTTTCAGTGCAACTCACATTGCTTCAATTTAAAATTCCAACTTGTAATCTTTTATTAGTCAAGAAAGATTATATAATTTGTAGGTTTAGATGTTTTAATATTGAAATTCTGAGATGACTATATTTCTAAATATTTTCTAATATGTCAAAACCAATAATCCTAATTCCAATCTTTCTTGTGTTCAGATGAACTTTGGAAATATGAGTCTTAGAATATTAAAAATGAAACTTTTAATAAGATACCTATTTTTAATTTTTTCTCAAGTAGTACATATTCCTAATAATATACAGGTCAAGTGATGTGAAAATAAAATATAGGGAAAATATAAATAGAGGGAAAATAAAATATAGGGAAATAAAAAAGGAAGTGATAAACAAGAACTATGAAAGTAGATAGAAGCAGATCATAAGACTTCTGTATTTAGACTGTTTATCAGGTGGAAGTCAGGGCAACACAGGAAATCCTAACTCTCAACACTGACTCTTAAGGAGGCATTCCACACTATCCTGAAATTAACTTCTAAAATGGTTTTCTGACATGAGACTTACAACAAAAATCCCTGAGCTGGCTAATGTAATGTCTAAATCCCCAACAGTCATTTATGATAAATATAAAATCAGCATTTATATGGCTGTTACCTATAATAATCCCTTGATAAAGGCCAAAGGTATAACCTTAGTGTCCAACTCAATGTAGGTGATTCTGCCAGGCAAATATGCAAACATAGTCCATATACTTAGTCTTTTAGGAATTGATGGAAAATGTTAATATCTAGTTCTTTCAAGGACCACAAATGTGTAGGTCCTAAGCTAAGCCCTTGATAGGAGCTGGACTGCCGAATTTTCAAAGGTGTTCTCTTTAAGCACAACCTTGGTGTTCTGTGATGTGAACTGAAGGCAAATCCCTTTGGAAATGTAATTTAATTGCTTGTTTGTTTTGATGAAAGATGAGGAGAAGAGTTATGGGAGAAAGAAAACGAAGGGGAAGGCATGGTTAGAACAATCTTATGAAAGCCTGCCACATTCTGTCATCTGCACAGAAGACCACCCACTGTGTGCATGGAAGTTGGCCAAAAAGTAGTGCTAGACAGACAAAATGGGTTTTTCCTAAGAGGTAGATTAATATTCATTTCAGCACTTGAATACATACTCATTTTATATTCTAGAACGACTGCCTTTCTTAGCTAATGACAAACTTGAAAAACTTTTCCATTAAAAATATGATTTGATAGATATAGCTCCTGCTTTGTTTTCCATTAAGGCCCTGAAGAGACTGGAAGCAGAATTTAAAATAACTGATTCATCTCCGAAAGGCCTTTACAAGTCCATACAAGTGTCAGTAGCTCTTTGTCAGTTTCTTTTTTTTAATGTTTATTTATTTCTGAGACAGAGACAGAGCATGAGTGGGGGAGGGGCAGAGAGAGAGAAAGGGAGACACAGAATCTGAAGCAGGCTCCAGGCTCTGAGCTGTCAGTGCAGAACCCGACGCAGGGCTTGAACTCACAGACTGTGAGATCAGGACCTGAGCTGAAGTTGGAAGCTCAACCGACTGAGCCACTCAGGTGCCCCTACTCTTTGTCAGTTTCTTAGTGACAAGACTGATTCATTTTATTCACGGATTTCAGTAATCTGAAGAGGGACAGGATGTTGCCATAGGTCAGTTTCTTGTATGTGGTTAACATCTTAGAAGACATTAACTTTTCTTGTTGATATGGCAGCTTAGACTAGTTCTGAGAGATTGGTTATAGCATATTTCTTTTTCTTAAGACTACAAATAGAGATGCAGATTCATTCACTCATCAAAGCTAATGAGCACATCAACTTGTCTGGCTTTTCTCCTTTTGTCGAAGTTGCTTGAGGAAGAGGTCAGTGAGTGAGCCCCGGTAGCTGTGGTTTATCAGGATTGGGTGGAAAGGGAATTGTCTTTTATCTGTTCTCAGTTTTCCATTAGACCATTTGCAGAGCATTCCAAAGGCATTCTTGATGTTTTCTTTGTATAAATCCACAATTTTGGTACCTTCTGCTATAAAACTGCATCCTTTCTATAAAGAACATCATCAGTGTACACATTTCAAGATGTGGACTTTTAAACATTAGGTCAGTACCTGGGCTACATTTTTTTTTTTAATTGTGTTAAAATATACATAAATTTACCATTTTAACCATTTTTAACTTTAAGTAGACTTCATGCCCAGCATAGGACTTGAACTCATGGCTATGAGATCAAGACCTGAGCTGAGACCAAGGCACCCAGGCATCCCCCATTTTAACCATATTTAAATAACATTAACTTCATTCACATTGTTGTGTACCCATCAAGACCATCCATCTTCAGAACTTTTTCATCTTTCCAAACAGAAACTACCCATTAAACACTAACTGTCCACTCCCTTCCCCCAGCCCCTATGCTCTATTATTTAATGACACAGCAATCCTGAAGCACGGAGGCTATTATTCTCATTCAAGAAAAAAAGCACAGAGACCTTGTCCAAGGTCACTGAGTACGGGGCTAAATGAGGATTCAAGTCCAGGTCTTTCTCCTCTAACGCAGGATTTGCATGGTTTAGAGACCACTTGTGGCCTGCAGACATGTTTTGTTGGGTCTACATAGTGTCAAATAATGTTGGTAAGTGGCTGACATTTAACACTGGAAGACTTCACACACACATCTGGATTGCTGCTTCCTCTGGAAGACTGAGATGATCTGGTAATGTGGGCTGCATGCTCTCTCGAGGGAAGCTATCGCTGGGAGCCAAGGAGTAGAGCGGCAGGCAGGGCATTGCTCTGGGTCCTTACGCTGTGACCCACTCAACCTCCGTTTGCCATCCTGCCTCTCAAGTCTGTGTTCTCTTCCCACTACACTGATGCCTGACTCACCAGACTTCTCCAGAAGAGAACCACCTCTTGACTGATTTACAAATGAATTATCCTTGGTTCAGACTTACCTCTTTTCCTGGAAGTATATGAGTGAGGGTTTTTATGTTTCAGTTGATTTGCATGTTCAGTTTTAGGATTACCATCACAAGGAAGTAAGAAGACCTTAGGGCAGAAACTGTTGGGTATGCTCCCTTCAGAAAACAGTTCTAAGAAGACTGAAGACCAGGATAATCCTCAGGAAGTCTTTAAGATGCTAACAGAGTTGGTCAGTGTTTTTGCTTTCTCTTGTTAGAAGTTGTGGTTAAGCTAATCTTTTTGTTTCCTATTAATTCAACTCTTTTTTTAAAAATTCCGTTCTTCAGTACTCTGTACTTGCCTTTTATGCCCTTTTCTCAGCTGAGGTACCATCCTCCAGTTTTGATCTTCATCTCCTTAAATTCCCTGCATGCTCTTCCCACTTCTCCCATCCATGTTCTTCCTGTACAAGTTTAAAGCTTCACCTCTGAAAAGAGGGGGCTCCCTGTAATTAACTGCAGGTACCTCTGTCATCTGCATTTACACATACAGTCCATGACAAGACCTTTTACTTAATTCAGGAATTTTTAAAATGTACAAGGCAACTTTCTCACACATTATATCTTGAATCATTATCCCTATTTCATATGACTAAAACTAAAAGACTCATGCTATATGAACATACTTATCTATACAAGAGGGTTAAAATCATTTATTCACATATAAATATATTTAAAAAATTTCACAAATAAAGAACTTCAGCCTTCTCTTGCAGGGGTAATTACATGTTGATGTTACACACACACACACACACACACACACACACACACACACCCCATGTGTATGTTTTTCCTCTCTCTTCAGATGACCTACAAAAGTTTCAGCAGAAGGAAACTTCTGTTCCTCCTTAAAAA